GAGACTGAAATAGACAGTTATATCACTATGGGGTTTTATTTGATTTATGTATATAACACATATGGTGCTTACCATGTTCCAGGCACTGGTTCAAAGATTTCACAAATTTTAACTCACTAAAGCCTCACATAAGCCATAGCCATAAGATAAGAATTATTATTATCCTCATTTTATAGTAAGAACCTGGAGCCTAGAAAGAAAAGGAAATTTGCCCAAAATCATACAACCTTGCTGGAATTAAAAGCTGGGAAGTCTGGCTTGAGAGTCCATTCTCCTAACTATTATTCTGTTTACTAGGACAATGAGCGAGAGAGAGAAAGAGAGAGGAGGGAACAAGAGTGAGAGAGCAGGAGGAGCTGCTGTCTTCAATCCTCAATTCATTGGTTTCCATTTCTCTGTCCAAAGTCAGTTTTTGCCATCTCCTAAGAAAAACTGGGGGAAAGAGGGTAGGATCAGTCCTTTGAAGGGCAGTACTTGGGAAGGTCTGTATCACTTCTCACTGCTAGTGAACAGAACGTAGTAACAGGTCCACATCCAGCTCATAGAGAGTTTAGGAAGTGCAGACTTTAGTTGACTGTACTTGTGTCCAATTAAAACTCTATCAACATGTTAAAAACACTATATTACCACAGAAGAAGTCCTTTCCCTCTCATCTGAATTCCTGCTACATATATTTGCTAAAGTTGCCCTAGTTCGAAGAAGTCTTCCCTAACCATCCTATCTAAGACAGCACCATTGTCACTCTCTAGCCCTTACCCTGCTTTATTTTTCTTCTTAGTACTCATCTGACATTACATTGGATTTTCATTTACTATTTGTCTCCAACTCCATCCCTCAAAACATATGCTCCATAAGAACAGGAATTTTGTCTCTTATTTACTGCTATATTCCCAGCACCCAATAGTCACTCTGTGATATTTGCTGAATGAACAAATGAGTGAATAATGAATGAACGATGTTCTAACTTGTCTCCTTGCCTGAGATCTTGACACACACACAAAAAAAAAGGTGTTAAAGAGTTTAGTTATCTTAACTGGCATCAGAATTCTTCTTAGGAAGGGAGGAAACTGCCTTTCATGATAATAAGAACACACCTTCATGTGGTAGGAGAAAAAACACAACGGCCAGTATTTGAGTAAAATTTCTCTTCATGAAGTAGAGAGAGGGGGAAAGGACCAAACAGAAGACAGAAAACTGGGAGGAGAGGAACCAGCAAGATGTCAGAAATCTTCCTGACTGTGACTCTGAAATTTCATTAACGAGGTAACAGGAGGCAGCTGCTGGTCAGATGGAGAATTCGGAGTCCCTACCATACTCTGCCGTGACAAAAGCCCTAGCATTCCTGGGCTCCAGCAGAGACCATCCTTCCCTCTCTACGTACCACACCTGAGTATCTATACCAGTGCTTGTCCACCTGCCTAGTTCTCCCACTATGGTGGGAACTTTGAAAGGGTAGAAAATAAGTGTCACTCATCTTTGCATCTCCAGTGACTAGCACTTATTTCCCATTCAACAAATGTTACCAACCAAGTGACCCCTTCCTACATTTTATTGCAGCACTAATCTGTCTTCAACATATCACTTTCACATGTTCAAAAACCTCCAGGAGCCACCTATCCATCATGGTATCAATTCTAAATTCTACTACCTAATTTCCAAGAAACTTCGTAGTACGGAATAGGTAGATTTAATTTTTTTGAAGATTCTTTTAAGAGTAGATTGCTGAATTTCACTAATTTCTCTCAGACAGAAATAGAACTTAATTTAGGTCAACTAAATGGTGAGCTGCACTGCTCAGGGTTACCTCAAATTCTAACTCATCAGTAGTATTTTCTCTGATTGTCTTTGCCTTTCCCTTATCTGCAGCACTAATCCATCTTCAACATATCACTTTCACATGTTCAAAAACCTCCAGGAGCCACCTATCCGTCATGGTATCAATTCTAAATTCTACTACCTAATTTCCAAGAAACTTTAATTTTTTTGAAGTTTCTTTTAAGAGTCGATTGCTGAATTTCACTAATTTCTCTGACAGAAATAGAACTTAATTTAGGTCAACTAAACGGTGAGCTGCACTGCTCAAGGTTACCTCAAATTCTAACTCATCAGTAGTATTTTCTCTGATTGTCTTTGCCTTTCCCTTATATAAACTCTTGCTGCCCTTAGAGTTTGTATCACAGTCTGTTAACTTCGTCCCATGCCATCTTAAAGGAGAGCTCCCATTATATAGCTCCCCACAGTTCCCATAAGTATAAGGTTGTCCAACAGAGCAAATTGCATTGCAACATGAAATTATTCACTAAAGAACTTGATCACTTATAATTTCCTAAGGATATATTACAAATCCATAGAAATGATTACCTCTGAGAAGAGGGAAAAGGGAATGGAATAAAAATGGTGATCTAAGGGCCTTCAGCTTTGTCTGTGACAGGCTTTTGAAAGAAGAATGATTTCATCTTGTGGTAAATTGTTTCCAAAGATGGCTACAACAGTCTCTCCCATGCTGCCTACCCTTTTGTCATGGGGCATTGCTGCCAACCCCATAAGGAGATGGGCTCTATTTCCAGTCCCCTTGAATGTGAGCTTGGCCTGTGCCCTCCTTGGACTATAGAATGTGGTGAAAGTGAAAAGGGGAGGGTTCCAGAGCTTAGTTTTAAGAGACCTGCAGCTTTTTCTTCTACTCCCTTGGAATGCTGAGGCACCATGTACAGGAGTTTGACTTCCCTACTAGAGATATCAGATGCAGTGTCCCTGGAGGCTGAAAGACTGAAGAGAGAGAAATCCCAGTATTCTAGTTGGACCTGCTGAGGAGCAGACATGTGGATGAGGCCATTTGGAATTCCTCAGACCAAACTACAGCTGAATGAGAGTGCCCAGCAGAGATGACCCATTGTAGCTGAGCCCTGCCTCACCAACCTGAGAATCATGACAAATAAAATGACTGTTGTTTTAAGCCACTGAGTTGCAGGTTGGTTTGTTACCCAGCAATAGATAACTGCTATATGACATGTGTTATTCAAAATTAAGTTTTAAAAGTAAATGAGCCCACATTCAAACCCTTCTTCTTGTTTAACAACTAGCCTCATTCCTTTCCCCACCTGACACCCCATCTCTTTGATCTCTATTCATCCAGCTGATTATACAATATCTAATAATGCAATGCAAAATCAGCATAAATCAATGCAAAATCAGGGCAAAGTGATTATAATGTGAAATCACAAACCTTGCAAAATATGTAGGAAATCATGAAGTTGATGAAGGTAAAATGTTAGAGAAACCCTTGAATCATGGGCAACTTCTCTGACAAATGAGAATCTGCAGCTGGAATAGCTAACATTTGAAGAAGAAAAAATCCACATGGATGATGGCACAATAAGTGCTTCAACAGGGAATGATTTGAATGTCAAAATTTAGGAGAGGCTCTTGGAAAATTGATGAAGCCCTCGAATATTTTTGAAATAATCACACTCTTTATGATTTGCCCACAGGAGTCGAATGTAAAAGGACATTGTATCATGATACTGTATAATTTTGTTAGAAAATTATGCTTCTCCAAATCAACACTTGATTCATCCTTTGTTCTCATATTTAACACACTGTTGGCCAACTAAATTTTGTTCAGTATTAGGTATGTTAATTTTAATCATTTTCTTACTTTTTTTACCAGATAAATTTCCAACCCAATCTTCTTTTCACTTTTTTTAGTCTCCATTTTTAAAGGATTCACTTCAAGTAGATTTGGGGGATACCAATAATCTAAGGAAATTGGGGTCCTTTGTAGATATCTTTAATCCATTGTCCTAACTAGCAGGTATATTCATTGAGGGCAGGGTCTTGGATCATGGTTTGCCAATATCCTCTAAATAGTACATCAAGCATGCAGCAGAGAGTAGGGATTCAAAAAATGTGGCAACAACTGGCCTGCTGATTGATTGACTTACATGTAGATACTGCCATTGAAGAATGGGGATGTCCCATTATCAACCTCTGACCCAATGTGAGCTGGCATTTGTTCTTTTCAAAACTTTTCATAGAAGACCTATTACAAACTTCTAGCTGAAAGGACTTTCAAAGGCTAGATACATTTAAAACCAATTGAAGCATGTAAAGTCGTTTTAGGAAATAAGCCCCATGTCTCAAGGGCTCAGCTGAGAAGGGCCACATTTGAGAACAGGTGTGCCACTTCACTGAGCAGGAATTTGGAAATGTTAAACATTAGAATCACTTCAGAAACTCCCACTCGACCTGCCTGACAGTCACACCTCTGGGCACGTGTCAATAAATGTCTTGCAGAGATGAACGTTTGAGAAACTCTCTCTGCACAAATTTAAAATTAGTTAAAACAAATCAGTATGGTTGGTAGGTTATTAAAGAGACTGCTTTATTTATTTATTTATTTATTTATTGGTTTTTCCTCTTTCAATCTCACTTCTCAAAAAAAAAGAAAAGAAAAAGAAAAGAAAAAGTGGTCATTCAAAAACATTTCACCTATTACATGATAACAGTCCATAATACTCATAGCAGCATGACTTGTTTTAACATCCCTTTCAACTTACTTTGCATCCCCTATTGCAAGAGTAATAAGAAGAACTGGGCTGTTTTCCTATCATTATCAGGGTTACTTCCACTCCTTTGCAAATGAGAAACTAACAACACAAACTTGGCTGCACGCACCCTTTAAACTCTCCTCCTCCCAGTAGGATACCCGGTGTTCTGCAACCCATCATCCAGTTCTAGGGCAAATACGAACAATATTTTCCGTTACAATAACTTGTATCCAGGAAAAAAAACAGGCGCTCTGTTGCATCTGTAACATAGCAGCCAGAGAAAAGTTTACTAGCTTCAGCCAATTGGAAGCTGTGGAGCTGGGCCAAGTTAGCATGTTTTTCTCCGCCTCTAGATGAAGTCATGATTGAAATATGGCCTTGAACTTATTTTTTTTAAGGGAAGGGGAATAGGAAAGAAAAGCTAAACCTGCAGCTTAGTACCCTGTGCAGAGGAGAACGCTGTTAGGAAATGTGTGCATGCTCCTGAACCCTGAGTGGTTCTGGTTTCTTGTAATCTTCGCCTCCCATTGGGCGGAGTGAGGGCCTTTAAGAGCAGCTGGAATGCAGTTCCCCTGATCAGCGCAGCCAGTTGTTGCCCGTCTGAACCTCTGCCAGTCTTGGAGAGCAGTGCTCTGAGCTCAAACCAGCGGGCCTCATTCTGCACCCTTCACCACCACCCTTCTCGCCGGAGCAACAAGCAGCTCCCAGCGGGAAAGAAATTTCCCACCTGTCCAGCCATGGGAGAGGACGCTGCACAAGCCGAAAAGTTCCAGCACCCGGGTTTTGACATGGAGCAGGAGAAACCACCGAGCCCCAGTCCGATGCCCTCCTCCACGCCGAGCCCCAGCCTGAACCTGGGACACACGGAGGAGGCCATCCGGGACAACTCGCAGGTGAACGCCGTCACGGTGCTCACGCTCCTGGACAAGCTGGTGAACATGCTGGACGCGGTGCAGGAGAATCAGCACAAGATGGAGCAGCAGCAGATCAGCCTGGAGGGCTCCGTGAAGGGCATCCAGAACGACCTCACCAAGCTCTCCAAGTACCAGGCCTCCACCAGCAACACGGTGAGCAAGCTGCTGGAGAAGTCCCGCAAGGTCAGCGCCCACACGCGCGCGGTCAAGGAGCGCATGGAGAGGCAGTGCGCGCAGGTGAAGCGCCTGGAGAACAACCACGCCCAGCTGCTTAGACGCAACCATTTCAAAGTGCTCATCTTCCAGGTCAGTGCCCACTGCGCCTCCTCACACGCGGGCTGGGACTCCTCAACATTCATGATCTCTGTCGTTCTGGCTCTCACAGCCATTTTCACATCTGTCCTGACTGTCAGGGATCTCACAGACAAGGCATCGTCTGTCTGCCTGCAGTAGTCAAATGTGAAATCTGCACACAGGGGTTGGAATTTCCCAGGTCACAGCAGCTTAAACCCAAGTCAGATGCCCGCGAGGTTAGTAGACCGTGTCCTTTGTCAGGGAGCACCTGGATGCACTCTGTACAAGTTGGGGAGATGTGCAGGTGCACGCACCCTTGTCAAATTCACTTGTCTCTGCATTAGAAGCTTGGGACTCTAGCAGCAGCTGGCAGCGGGACAGGGCAAATTAATTCAGTGGCTTTTTATTAACTCTTTGTGGAAATGAGGTGATCATGTGAGTTTTGGGTTTTTGTTTTGTTTTGTTTTAAATCAAGAAGTCAAACTCATTAACTATTTAAAATATCCCTTTGTCCAAAGGCTACCAATGTCTGAGGGACTAACCAAATGGAGGACAGATTTGATAGATTCCATTAGAGTTGAACTAGCCTTGTTCTTTTAAGACTTTGGGGGCAAAACAATCTTGATGAGTTCTTTTCTAGCAAATTGTGCACTAAAAATACAGAGCGTAACTCTTTACAAACATACTAGATATGCCTCTCATTGCTGAAAGAGACCACAACTGTAAAGTAAAATAAAAGGAATGTTATCAGTTATAGTCACAAAGGCTAGTCTTGAATGTTTTCTCCTTCGAATGGTTGCCTTAGAATAAAAAGGCCACTTAAATTTTTTTAAATTTATCAATGATGCAATTAACGTAGGAAAAGGCTATTTGGGGACAGGGAGATTGCGTGAGGCTGTTGTTCCTCCAAGTGGTGGGCATTTGTGAATCAAAGGGCAGCCCTGCCTGATGCTGGAAGCCCTTCCGCCCAGTGGAACCCAGCCAACAGAGCCCAGGAAGCGACCGCCATCCCTGCCCCAGGGCTGTCTCAACTTGACCATGTGAATAGAAGAGGATTTCAAAGCTATGGAGGGGAGAGGCTATAACCAACAGTTTGATTGTGAAAGGCACACAGGCAGAGCCTTCATTTCCCAAAAGAGATCTAGAAATTGGGATTTAAACCAAGGAAGCCTTCTTTTTCTAAGTGAGTCTGCTCTGCCAAGTTAGAACCTAAGTCTTCCTACCCCCATAAAAGGAAAGACTCATCTCTCTCCTTTTTTGTCTTCCCCAAATTGCACTTGAATGTTGTACAGGTTTAGGTAGCTGATGCGCTCCTGTACCTTGCAGGCTTTTGCAGCCTGGAAACTTTTCAGTTTTGAATACAAATGCAGTAGCTTTTCATGCACCAGATGAACTGAAAAGAGATACCGTAACTGGGCCTTTCTTAAGCCATACGAGATCCTTATTTTATTAGCCTAAAAGATATTAGAATCTCAGCTCTCAAGGCATTTCTAAATTAAATACAGATCTCCAAACAAAACCAAACATGTACAGACCTGTTTAAATCTGATTCACCAAAGGAAATTTCCTCCTTCCAGTATAAATTAGAGAGATTATCTCTCTTCCCATCCCTCAGTTAAGAAGGGGAAAAAAATATTTACCTACTAAAGGAAAATCACAATTTGTCAGGATTGCTTTCTGTTTTTTTTTGCCAAGGATGTTCTGCAGATGTTGGGGGGAGGGATGGAGAGGATATGTGACTAGAAATTTCAAAGAACTGTAAATCTGACATTTAAAAAAAACAACTGTTAGGGAACTTAAAGGCACATGCTGTTGTTGAGGTCCTGACATGGTCTCCTGTTTTGTCACATCAGGTTGACAGGTGTGAAATTGCAGCCAGAAATGGTAGGAATTCTCCACATAGTGAGTAAAAGCTGAAACCAGGGTGCTCAAAAGAATCCAAAGTAGCATGTTCAGACTCCATTCTGGGCCTCCTTAACAAGCAGTGCCCAAGGACAGTTATATAGAGCATTTTAGGAGGAAGGGAACTAGAAGAGAGTAACTGGACCTTTCTTAAGCCATGTAAGATTCTTTGTGAGCCTAAAGGATATTAGATATCTCAACTCTCAAGGCATTGCAAAATGATTGTTCTGAAAAAACAAACACAAGGGCATCCCTCAGTGGAAAGATTGCTCTTTCTTTTGCCCCTTCTTAAAGTAGGGGTTTCTGTAGGATAGTAATTATGCCAGTGGCTAAAACAGTAAGTTGTAGACAATGGTCCAGTATAGTGGTTGAGAAGATAAATTTTGAAGTCACACAGACACTATATCAAATCCTAGTTTCATCAATTGCCAAATACGTGATCTTGGACACATTTTGTAGCTTCTCTAAGCCTCTGTTTCCTCATCTATACATTGAGGATATTAATAAGAGCAAAATAATTTTGAGCACTTAATAAGCCTGCATACACTGCTAAGCATCTCTCTGTGCATCATCTAATTTATCCCCAATTCACGGATGAGAACACCAAGATTCAGAGGTGTTTATATCTTGCCTGAAGTTATTTAGTAAGCAAGTGGTAAAACTGGGATTCAAACTCATATTTAATTTATTCCAAAGAATGTGCTCTTACATACTAATGCTTCCTCTCCCATATCTCTTATAGGTTGAGGAATAAAGGAAAAAACATGTTTAAAATGTTTAGCAGGGACTGACGTGGTGTAAGCGCTCAGTGAGTAGAAGCTGTTACGGAGTATATCTGAAAGTCATTTGCTCAGAGAGGAGGCTACACTTTTGCTTGGGTGTAGTCCTTGGGTAAAAACTGACTCCAACTTACCCAGGATCTTAAAGCAGCTATGCTTATGCTTTTTCATTTGGGACTTAATAGAACACACACACACACACACACACACACACCACACAATACATTGTACGACTACCACCATGTTGAAATCAGCATTATGTCACATCGCCATGAAAGCAAAGGACTCTGCCCAAAAGATCTGCTCTTAATAGACCCTTCTGGTGGCAGCACACCACACAATACATTGTACGACTACCACCATGTTGAAATCAGCATTATGTCACATGGCCATGAAAGCAAAGGACTCTGCCCAAAAGATCTGCTCTTAATAGACCCTTCTGGTGGCAGCACAGTCTTTACAGTGAGACAGAAGGGGACTGTTTCCTAGACCCGCAGATGGTGTGGAGGGGATAATGTACCAGGTACAACTTTGTGTCTTTTAGTAATTTGTCACTTTCAGTCCACTTGAACCCTTTGCTGGACTTCCTTTTACTAAATCTATTGGCTTTCTAGTTTAAGACCAAAAATAAAATATGTGAAAATAAGAGAGCGAGAAGAGAAAATCATTCCCGTGATTTAAGCATATTTAGTACTGTGGTGTTGAGATTACATTTCCGGTTTGTTGTGTCCTCCAAAACCTACAGGTTGTGTTTCTGTTGGTGGGTTGGTTGTTAGATTTACCAGATACTTACTCATTTGCATTTTTTTAATTCCAAACTTTGTCCTTGATTTATCCTACTTAAAACATGTCATTTATACATTTAAATCTGTGCTGAACTTTACAACATTGCTGTAGCTCTTAGGCATCTAATTTCTTAGCAATTACTTCAAATTCTAACCAGTAGTATGTAAAACAGGAAAAACATTCATCTCCCTTTGAGCAATAAAATAAATTTTAAAATCCTAGTTAAACTCACCAACTTTCCTTTTTAATTTTTTTTTTGTAATAGCTTAAGATCAGTGCTTGAATTCAAAATACTGTGACATGACCCAGCATAAATGAAATAAGACTCATAGGTATTGCTGATCAAGAAGCAAATGCTAAAGAAAGGCTAAGACTAAGACTTTGCTTGTAAGCATGGCTATCTTTTATTGGAAATACATTTTGTACAGAAAATCAGTGAATTTACAATTAACAGGACATTTTGTCTGTTAGAGAGACTAGAATTTCACAAGTAACTGGCCCTGAGGGTGTGATGCCCACTTACATCCTCCTAAGGTTCTAGTAATAATTATTTGAAAATCACTTGGGAATGATTTCAAACCCAGAAATCAAAATGAGAGTACTCATGGACAGCTTACACTTTCATCCACATAAAATTGTGAAATCGGGTGAAAAGAGTAGAAAGGTTAGACATTTGCAGTGGATACACTTTGGGACAATTGAGCCTAAATGTGTTCAAATATTCATCATTTGGGTTCCTTCGATGAGATCAGAATTTTAGAAAGGTGCTAAAAGTGTAATGTTTTTGGACTATTTTAAAATTGATTTTTTAAAAAAGACTATACCCAAAGCCACTGCTCTGAAAACTGTTAAATTAGTACAGACTTAGAAGAAATGAAGCTATGTATCTTTATATGAGAACTCACCATGTTTGTATCACATTGATTAATGTTCCCGTAATGGGGTATTGTTTTGATGTGTTACTTATCCAGTGCCCTTTTAGGTTATGAGATAAACAAAATACTACTTCTTATTGTTGTTATTTACAGTTATTGAATGTCAGCACTGCCCCAGGCACTTCAAATGAAAACTGATTATTATTGTTGGTATTTCTTTGAAAGACTCTCTCTCAAATGCAGCCCTTCCAAGCAAATGTTGCCCCTTCCATTGTTTTGTAAACTATATCTGTTTTAGTTGAACGCATGAAAAATATTCTCTAGTGCAACTCAGGTCCTATAGTTTTGACTTTTGCATAAAATAAAACATATTTGGCATTAGTAAACTATGGAATTGCTTCTACAATTTGTTAATTCTTTTTTATGGGGTTTAGGTTAATATCACATAATCAAATAGATTAGAGCTGAAAAGCACCTTAATAATCATTTAGTTTAACTTCATTGTATATCAAAGATACAGGAGCCCTGAGAAACAAAATGACTGGCAAGGTTTCATTTTATTAATAATAGAAATTATGCAATTGAATTGTGAAATGAGTAAAACAAACACTATAATCCCACTATGGTAAAGTTCATGTTTACTGGGTTTTCTACATTAGCTTTTAAATAATTCAGTGTGATTTGTTTTTTTGTTTTGTTCTGTGTTTTTTATGTGTAACAAAGAACACCTAACCAGTGTGATCTTAAAAAAGAATTGAACCCTTGATAACACTGAAAAATAATGAAACTTTTAAATCCTCCAGAATGTGAAAGACTGCTCAGGGATTATAACTAATGCATTTTATTCTTATGACTTGCTGATTCCACCGACAGCTGCCTTAGGGGTGCAGTTCTAATCAATGGCTTTATCCACTTGGCAATCTATATCTCAGAAACACAAATCGGAGAAAACCATCAATGTGTAAAAGAGACCTATAAATCAGAATGTCACGTGGGCATAGTTCCATTTTAATAACTAGTATTTAAAGATTATTGGATAAAGCATTTCATGGACACAAATTTATGGTCTTCATATACCTCCAGGATGCTACCACATCCCTGTGGGAATATGACATCCTTTGTTATTTTCTTCTAACAACAGGAATGATGAGTTAGTGACAGGAAAGCAAACTGCTGGCTTTCTTGCTTCCTATTCAAGCTTTTAAATGACCTATTACTCTAGATTTCCTTTTCTGACACTAGTCATGGAGCTCATTTTCTTTTCAAGTGTGCATATCTATATATGTGCAGAGAAGATTTGCTTCCATGAGCATCAACCCAAGAAGTGCCCAACGTGTTGGCAAGTTTCTCTGTGTTGATACCACCAGGACTATTAGTTCACAAGAATACGTATAAACAGCAAATGAGCTGATGTGCAAGGAAAAATGCCACTTCTCGAGACTTCTTTCCATCCCTTTTCTCTTTCGTGCTGCAAGCATGTCAGTCATATATGCTTGAAGTGTGCTTTTTAATTCTCCCTTCCTTTGAAAAACTCCTAAGGGTCCTTGTGAAAGGTCAGAACCAGGAACACCTGCATCAGCAGAGGCTGAGGACCTTTCTGAAACCAAAGGGCAAAAAATCAGTTGCTCCTGGGGGTTGCTACTGGATGGAACTGCCAATGCAGCCCACCAGGGATTCTTAGTGCCATTTTAAGGAGCCACAAACCCTAAGTAGACATATGAGTAAGCAGCACAGGTAAGCAGTGATAGAGTTGAGGATGTATACTCAATCCTCCTCCCTGGAATAGCTGTCAGTCTGGGAATCTCTTAAGCAGATGAAAAGCATTACAACGGGAGGCTGAAGGCACAAGTGTCACCTCACCTGCAGGCATGTGAAATAGCAAGTGTTTGCATGAGGTGTGTGGGGCCGAACTGAGCACAAGGGCATGTGTGCAGGTGAGGCTGGGTACCTTGAGGAGAGGAAGGCAGTTACAGAGGATCCATCATCTGAAGTTCAAATGGAATTTCCACCACCATGACAGTTACTTCATAGTCAAACACCACCCATATGTCTTACTAAAGAGTAGAGATTTTGAAGAGTGTCAGCATTTTGCTGCTTCTAACCATATGTTATGGGAAGGTAAGACCTACATGTGCTTGGACATTCACAAATTCCTATGTGAAAAGAAAGGGCTTACCTTCAGAATGGATGCCACTGGAAGGCACAAAATAAACACTGTCCAGTAGGCAGAACATAAAATACTGCTTGAGTAATTAAAATGACAGCAGAAGCAGAGCAGTTAGCCAAGAAGACATATCTCACTTGTTTCCAGTTGCATAAAGACACATCCAACTCGTCCTGGATTATCTCTGTTCCTGCTGGGTTTATTTTTATGGTTGGCATCAAAGACTCTCATATAAATTTCCCTGGCATTTACAAGAGTTCATTTTGGATTTCCCACCTTCCCTCAACACCACCCCCACATATATGCACCCCCCATATATCTACCATGGATCATTTCTGATTCACCTTTTAATATACTTTCCTCAAAGCTATCCTCAAAGAATACATGATAAGAGAGAAGAAAGAACATTAAGACTCAACAGTAACTATGCTTTTGTAATAATAAAATTTACAGTTAAGGAAAAACTGCAATATTATTTGTTTAGTTCTTTTAGAAGTACAGTTAATATGCCTATTTTTTGTTAAGGCTGAACAAAAGGCACTTATCCAACTTACTACCTTTGATTACTCTGAGAGACTATGCTATACAAAATGTACTTTTTTCCTGGTCAGCAGGGCTTATTTTTACAATTTTCTGCCTGAATTTCTTCTTTCCTCACTGAGGACTTTTCATAACATTTCACTGAACTGTTGGTTTCTTCCTTTCCTGCCAGCAACTCCTGTCAAACCTTTCCAGCCCTCTTGTCAAACCACAGAAATAATTTTGCTTCTGGACTCAGCATCAGAGCCCTAGCTATTTCTGTAGTATACCCCTCTTTCACTAATACCCATCCGCTGAGAATAAAACCCTTCCTAAAAACTGGAGACCACTGCCCCCCTTAGGCCTTAGGTTCTCTGATTTCCCAGTGGCAGCAACAGTCAGCAAACTTCCTTCCAGATACAGAGCTGAGCTCATTCTTTTGTAATCCTCAAGCCTGCCCATGCAGGGGCAATCTACATGCCAGCCACTGTCAGGGCTTTCTTAGAAGGCTACCTTTTGCAACATGTGCTCATTTAACAAGAACCTGTTGAGCTGTAGGCACTGGGACACAGTGGTGACCAAAAGATTAAAATTCCTCACTGGTGGAGAGTACATTCCAGTGAAATAGAAGCAATCTCAACTTAAACATGAGAAAACGGCTCTCTGCAAAAATCCACGTCAAAATGACTCATGGCAATCCCATATTCATTTTAGTTTTTTATTTTGTCTTTTATGCTGTGTACCTGACACTTTCCATGGCATTCAAAATGGGAGGGTTTGGAGAAAGCTTTGGGAAGCAGAAAATGTGATATCCTCACTCTAATAAGGATTCTATTTAACCAGACTTTCTGCTTTTTGCCTCTACCCAAGTCTTTATCCTTTATTTCTAACCGATTTATGAAAAGGACTCCATATGAATGTGTGTATAAGAGAGAGACAGGGTGCTGTATCTTTTCGAAGAGTATCATAATTATACTGCTCAGCAGTTAATAAGGACAGGGATTTTTTTAAGTTTCTCTATAATATCAAAACTTTGTTCATTTAGTTTTTGTATCAAGAAGTTAAAAATATACAGTCACGCTACAAGAGCATGTTTTCTATCATAATGCAATTTAATAAAATAGACTCTTCATTTAAAATTGCAAAATGAGAAGGGAAGTTCTTACTGTTAACATGAACTTTGCATGATGTTTAGATCCCTGATAGACTTTTTTTGTAGTTTATTTCTGTTTGTTTCTTTTTTGTCAGCTGGCTAGTACAGGGATAGAATCCTGGACCCTGGTTTTATCAGCACCACGCTCTAACCAACTGAGCTAACTAGCCAGGCTCCAAACAGACTTTTAAATCCACTAAGTCCAGTTACTTTTCAATGTGAAAGTTTACTGGGCAGCCCAACATATAACCAGGTAACTTTGAACCCTGCTTGCAGCAGGGATGTCAGAAGGCTCTGGAGCCTTGCCCCCTCTGGCATTCCTGTGGAACTCCTGGTGCCCCTGGGAATGCAGTCTGAAAGCTTCTAATCTAGATCAAATCCTCTTGTTCATATTTGGAAGAAACTGAGACCCAGGGAGATTAAGTTATTTGCTGAAAGCTGCACAACCATTTAGCAGTACAGCAAAGACTGAAACAGGCCACACATTCGATACTGTGCCATTTCCTTCCATGAAAATGTGAAGGTACCTTGCTGACTAGCTCTCGTTTTCCAATATTCAAAGAAAAATATAAAAATCGAAAGGGTTCTTATGCTGTGTGACCCAAATCTGCCTGGATTCAGAGCTCCCCAACGAGCCATCATGCAGCACCATCCCTTGCGCTCAGGAGGTGAGTTCTTGGGCGCTGCTCCCTGCGACCTCTTTGCCTGTGTGCCTAGAAGCTGGAGGAGAGATGTGCTGGGAACAGTGAAGGGGAAGCTGCCTGAGCTTCTCTCCTCACTCTAAGCTGGAGATGGGGGCCAACCTATTCTTGCCCAAAGAAGCTTGATAAGCTACGCCTGGCAGCATAATCCCCCAACACTCCTCTAAATATGACCCTAATATCTCACCTCCCCTTATTGACTCCCACAAAGGATATCCTAAACCACAAGTCTTTGGGAGTGGGCCCCCAGGAAGGCTAGCTGTTGCTTCTCTTGCTCTAGAATGATGTCATTAGTGAAATTAGTGTGTGCTTTTGGACAGATACTGAGGTTGACTATACCTTTACTTCTGACTTCTAGTTGCGGAGGGAACCTAATCAAGGATCTACGTGGTGTCTGACACTGGAGGACTTCTCAATTCTCTCCCCTGCCCCCATCTTTTACCTTCTGACTTGACCCTCAGGCTCTTTTGCAGTGCGATTTTGGCAGAAGCAGAGCCCTCTGACCTCAGGGAGGGAGAGGGCCTCTGGGTTCACAGTACAGTAACTTACTTTAGCTCCTTTATCTAGGTGGCTTCCTGGTCTGTCTGAGTCACAGCCCACTTCCCCCCTGCCTGTCACTGATAGAGTTTGTGCCAACCGCCCTCATGATATTCCCACCAGGGAGCCCTTGGCCTCTTCCAGCCTAGAGGAATGACTTGGCCAATTTAGGATTAACTCTTCCTACTCTAGAAAACTGAAGATGCAAGCATTTGGTTTCTATCATCTGCATGTCCCTAAAACAGACACACACATATCACAGCAGTTCAGGACTATTTGTGAAATGTGCAATTAACATGAAACCTACATTGTCCCTCTTTTCAGGAAGAAAATGAGATCCCTGCCAGTGTGTTTGCAAAGGAGCCAGTTTCTAGCCCAACGGAAGGGAAGGAGGAGCTTGCTGATGAGAACAAGTCCCTGGAGGAAACCCTGCACACGGTGGACCTCTCGTCAGATGATGAATTGCCCCACGGTGAGGAGGCCTTGGAAGACAGTGCAGAGGAAAAGACGGAGGAAAGCAGGGCAGAGAAACTAAAAAGATCCAGCCTCAGGAAAGTGGATAGCCTCAAGAAAGCCTTTTCTCGCCAGAACATTGAGAAAAAGATGAACAAGCTGGGCACAAAGATCGTATCTGTAGAGAGGAGAGAGAAAATTAAGAAATCTCTCACGCCAAATCACCAGAAGATATCCTCAGGGAAAGGCTCCGCCTTCAAGGTTTCTCCCCTCACTTTTGGTCGGAAGAAAGTCCGAGAGGGAGAAAGCCCCACAGAGAATGAGACCAAGTCGGAAGACATGCCTAGCAGTGAGCAGATGCCCACCGATCAGGAGGAGGGCTCGCTTGCAGAGGGTCTTTCCGAGGCGTCCCTCCCCGGAGCCCTGGGGGACGGGGAGAGGGCAGAGGGGGCTGCTGAGAAGATGGCTTTGAGGGGAAGTAACTCGGGGATGGACAGCAACATCGACCTTACTATTATGGAAGATGAAGAAGACGAGTCAGTGGCTCTGGAACAGGCGCAGAAGGTGCGCTACGAAGGTGGCTACATGCTAACGTCCGAGGAGACAGAGCGGTCGGATGAGGAGCCCGCACAGCCGGCTGTGCTGCGGGTGCACCAGACCGCGTGAGTGCACAGCCCCCTGAGCGCACCAGACCGCCTGAGTGCACAGCCCCCTGAGCGCACCAGACCCCGTGAGTGCACAGCCCCCTGAGTGCACAGCGCCCTGAATGCACAGCTCCCTGAGTGCGCCAGACCGCCTGAGTGCACAGCCCCCTGAGCGTACAGCCCCCTGAGTGCACAGCGCCCTGAATGCACCAGACCGCCTGAGCTCACCAGACCGCCTGAGTGCACAGCCCCCTGAGCGCACCAGACCGCCTGAGTGCACAGCCCCCTGAGTGCACCAGACCGCCTGAGTGCACCAGACCGCCTGAGCACACGGCCCCGAGTGCACAGCCCCCTGAGTGCACAGCGCCCTGAATGCACAGCTCCGAGTGCGCCAGACCACCTGAGTGCACAGCCCCCTGAGTGCATAGCCCCCTGAGAGCACCAGACCGCCTGAGTGCACAGCCCCCTGAGCCCAGCCGGTGCTGCCAGTCAAGGGGCCACCAGGGCCCGGAAGCAACTCCTGCACGGCCGCAGAACTACCCGCTCACGACTGTGCCCCTGTGCGGGCCGTGGTAACTTACCACGTAGTAACAGCATAGGAAAGACCAAGGTTTACTATGAAAGTGACCTGTCAGAGGTCCACATTTTATTTGCTCTTAGGTTCTGGTTCTGTAGAATTTCTCCGAAATTGCCAGGAAGAAGACGTGGAGTAGTTAAAAAACACTGATCCATTTGGCTTAGTCAGAAAAACCAGAGGCTTCTTAAGATACTTGCCATGAAATGCGATTCATTTATTTGTCATTCTCTATGCTTGCTGAGTAGTGTACCAGTAATATGTTGAATTCCCATAGCTGTCTGTGAATCTAATTATTACTCGTTAGGTGTATGATATATAATATACATAAATATGTAAGCTAAAGACATAACTAAATATTTTAAGAAAACATTTGCAAGAAGCAGAAGAGAATGTTCAGTTGATTATTCACTTAGAAACCACTGTTTTATTGCAAACAAAGGAAAAATTGAAAGACTGTAATAGTGAGCTAAGAAAGGAAGATATGTAGTAAAGAGTCAGAACTATAAGAAAACTAAGGAGGAAAACTTGGAAAATAAGAGAAACAGAAAACAAAGAATGTCAAAGAGAATGAAGACAGAGAAAAAAGTATGTGCTTAAAAGTAAAATATTTACAATATTAGCTTAACTATTTTACTCCTTAAGTAACAATACTAAAGAAGTTCATATGTCCTGGAATAATATGTTATGTGTTCACAATATTTTTATTTTCTAATATTTTCAAATACTCATAACAAACATATTTACAGTGTTAAAGCTGCATTTTTTTCTTAGTAAATAAAAGATATTACAAATATTTCTCTAAGGAAGTTCAAAGGGATGTTGTCTTTTTAACATTGGAATGAATATAAATCTTCAAAAAATAATATTTACTGCCATTGATAGGAAGGTGTATCATACTATTCTTTAATATAATATTTTCCAGATTTGAAATAACCCTTACTACAAATGATGTCATGTAGGTTTATAAAATGTTACAATCTATACGTCTGGGAAGGTTTTTCCTTTTTTTGTACGTAATGGTAATTTCATTCCAGGTCGTATTTATATGTTAATTTCACAGAATATTAATATATTTCTTAACTACTTAAAGCATGCTAGTGTTTTATGTACACATTTATTCAGATGGTAATTTTTTACTGTTGCCTAACATTATACTAAAATATTGCTTTATCTATTTTCAGTTACAAAATGCTAATGTTTTGTTAAATTATAGTTTAAAGACAGTTAACCAGGGAACAAATTTCCTACCTTTATTATGTAACACTATAAGTAACTTACAAATAGAGGTAATATAAGACAATATTAACTATGCTTTGTCTTTAACAAAAAGGATAGGATTAACAAACATGTTGGTAACGTAACCTATTCAGCTATGTCCTTATTTTTGTGATAATGTAACCTCAAATATTGGATTGTTGAACTAACAAAGGCTATGTTAAAGAAGATTAAATAAACTAAAAAATAAAAAGTACATAACAATGTCAGTTCTTTGGCAGAACAATTTTAGAACAAGCAGAAAGAATTGATTTTTAAACCCTCCTCCAAACATAGCAATAATGTCAATTGTTTCAGTCTTGATTTCCTCTATTAACTCTGCTTTCTTTTTCCCTGACCCCATTTAGAAATCCAAGTCTCATTCTTCAAGTTTAACTTTCTTGACATCACCTTGCCAGCTCTCGAGAGCATCTGAATTTATTGCAGCAGCCTGATGAATTTGATAGTTCTATCTGCATTTTTATTGTATTGTACCAGACCTTCTAATACCTTAAATACTACTGCAAACGTGAACGTATTGAACTGTACATTCGCTTTATTCACGCAGATAAGACTTTGTCTTCTGTAGTGCCACAGACTCCGCAAAAGACTTAATTTCACTCAGGGCTCAAAGCATGTCCGTTTAACCTTTATAGAGTTGCTGTCACTTCTTGCAGCTGAGTTGTTGGGGGATCCAGAGCTAATGTAATGTGTACATTTCCTTTTCAAAAATAGTTTTTTCATTTGTTCCTATAAACTAGCTGTATGTCAGTGGAAAACTGTACTCAGGCATCTTTTAAGTTTTACTGACAATCACATAAAATCCTAAGCAGGGGTTGGCTAGTTAGCTCAGCTGGTTAGACCACAGTGTTTAAACACCAAGGTCAAGGGTTCAGAGTCCCATACTGGCCAGCCTCCCCCAAAAAATTAAAACCCTAAGCAATAAAACAGAGTTAGGCCAGGTAATTGCTGGAAAATGCATACTGTAGGGATTTGAGAGACAAGCACCTGTGGAAATGGAAGCTATTTATTCTGTATTAAGTTGAATTATTTGCCTACTGGTGAGACTGCAAAGTCCCCAAATTAGATATGTCTTCTTCCCACCCATCCAATAACCCATTCCTAACTTTATGGGCCTCGAGTTCAAGAACTGTATTAGTTTTCCCCAAAGGACATACATTAATAAGGAGTGAGATCTATATCTTAGAAACATAGTTCAGGAGTAAGAAACTTATATTATATGGATTACAAATCTCACAGAAATATAGCAAAAATGTCATCTTCAACCAAATTTATTTTAAAAATACTTACATATTTCAACAGGAATATTTTCCTCTTTCCACTTAGGAATCTAGTATATGGATGAATTACTCGTTTTTATACAGGAAAATAGAAGACCCACCCCAAGACCAGTTCTGCACAAAACAAAGACTAGATATTTATTATATTATGAAAGTCCAAAATGTTTCTGCTTCTAGCAATGCTCATGCAGAAGAGCAAAGTTTGAACCTCATGTGATTCAGCCCACTATTGGGAAACTAGAAGTTCCTTTAGCATAGCCAAGATGCCAGTGTAAGTAAAGGTTATAATGAAAGTCATTTCCTACATTAAGACACTAATGCCCAAGCCCAGTTAATTCCTGCTCCAAAGTTTGTTTCCTGCCCTACAGCTTAAATCTAAGTGATTTTATATTGGAGATTGGGAGTATGAAGAATTGAGGTACAGGCAGCAATCATTATTAACAGTTCCATAGCAACCACAAGTCTTCCTAAAAATCAAGATTCAGGCACTGCAAAACAAGTTTCAGATGAAATTGGCATTGTGACCTTTGTATTCTGCTTGATCTGGGTGTCTAGATAAAGACTTCTGTGGCCAAGAACTCATTCCTAGAGGGAACAGGCAGTAACTTGCATTATTAAAGATACATATTTTTATTTTAACCATTGCATTATCCTGCAGTGCTTGAAATACTAAAATTATTTTTAACTCTCCACACGAACTGCCTCAATTAAGAAGTCACACCTTTAGCAAAATAGCTTGACGTTCATACATTTATACACTTTTCACTGTAAAACCCAATTTGTTAAATATTTATTAAGCAGAGAAACCTTTAGTCCCTATTTGCTAAAATTCTTAGTGACAAAGCAGTAAGACTTGCATGGGGGAAAGGGAACCAGTATTTTTGATAGCTTACTTTACACCATGGCAGGCACTCCAATGGCCAGCAATACTATCTACCTACCTCATGCTAAACACTAAAATTGTCTCATTGTATCATACAAAAGTCTATCAAGAAGGTACTATCTTTACCTCCATTTTTAATAGAGTAAGAACCTGAGACTTTTGAGTTTACTTAATCCAACTAATAAGATGGAGTAGGGGAGGGACTTCAGAGTTCTTAAACACTCTGAGTTCTCACTCATCATGTCATAATTTAACCACCATTTTCCTTTGAGGGTCACAGAATTAAGTGACTTGTCCAAATTCGCATAACTAGTGAGTGACAGGGCAAGTGTTCAATCCCAGTCTGAAATCCATGCTACTGTCAAAGCAGACACCTAATTATCACACAACTGTGCTTCATCATGAGTCACTTTATATGCACTCAGATGGTATGGTATTAACTTTATCTTATCGCACCTTTTACAGCTGCACTTTGTAAATGATTTTGTTGACTGTCATTCCCATGCTAAAAAAAAAACAAAAAAAAACAGGTCACGGTTCTTGGAGAGCCACAAAGAGACTATTATTCAGGTCTGCTGAGGCCACAGAGAGGCTCCTTAGCTCCTCAGCATCACCCATTGTTAGTAGTTGCAGGGTTCACTATGTGGCAGGGTTTAATAAGAGCAAACTGTCAACAACGATGAATACTGGAATCAGCTCATTCAAACAGGCTCATGAAGTCTGCCTCAAACTTTTTAAGTTAAAGGAGTCACATCCCTATGTCATGCTAGAGAAATTGCTTCCTAGCACTTCCTCTCATAGGCTGAATGAAAGAGCAAATGGTAAGTCAGCATGGGATAGCGAGGGAGGGGGAGGTTCAGGAAGTAGGGTGAACCATGAGGATATGGAGACCTAGCCTGTGAATATCATTCCTACAAAATCATCCAGCCTTCTTCTCAGGACAGTCAGGAGCCAGGCCAAACAAATGCTGGTGTCTCCATCTCTGAGGGCAAGAAATCAGAGGAAACCCTCTAGGCCAGCCTTCATTCATCAAGATGTATGCTGCAGGCAACAACTTCCTCTAAAGGCTTTGGCAGTGGCCATAAATGCAAATGCCTGAAGGGCTCGGACATGAATAAAATGGCTCACAGAGGTGGCAGCAATTGTGGCAAAGCTATTACAGTGGACTGAGTCCTTGCTGATGGGGCACCCTTGTACTTCATCAGCCTGGAGACCGTGCCTTTTCTAATTTCCACCAAGGGAATTGTAGGAGTCACCCTGGATTATGGTAAACTGGCAATCACTACCCTACCCCAGTTGCCATATGAGAAATCAGGCCCTAGGATTTGCAGGGACCAAACTTAGACTTCTTTTAAGAAGAGCCAAAATCCAGATTTCTCTTTACACGAAGATCTCCTGGCTTTTAATTTTTGGCAACTAGTTCAAATAATTTTAAACATTTGGTGAGCCAAATGTAAATGTCTGCTGGCTGGATATGGCCCAGGCATGATCCATCAGCTTCTGACTCCTCATCTATGGAGATGAAGTTTCTTGGCTTCTCTTTTCCCTCCTGGAGGCATAGACACAAGAATAGAAAGCTAGTAACAGGATTGGATTTGCTGAAAGAAAAAACACAAACACCTTCTTAGGGAAATGTAAAATGCAAAAACACCCTTGCTGGCACTTACAAAAAGTTTCCCTCTTGCTGCACACAGAATTAATGAGAAGATAGCCATTAATGCTGTATACCTATTGCACGGCAAGGAGACAGCAGCCAATCACATTGAAAGGTGATTATACGTTCTCTAATGAGAAGCACCGCTCCTTGTTATTAATACCACCAGACACCTGTGGGCTACCTGCAGTGCTCCTGGATGTCAAAGGGATTAGCAATCTTGGTAAACTGAGCATTTGAAGTCACTATCCCATTTCTATGTTCCAGTTGAAAAATGGCTACTGCTGTCAATACGCTGGAGGCTCTATAGATGACAAAAAGCAAGTTCATATTCTGCTTTGTCATATATCATAGCTAAATTGCCAGCCAACACTCCAATTTTTCAACTCCTTATTGTTGGTAATGAGGTACAAAAGGGAAAGAACACAGCTCAGTTTTTTTGGATGTTAAATTGAGCCTTCAGAGAGCTCAGAGTTGGGGGAGGGGAACCAATTAGATTTAGCACAAGGATCAAGATGTTCTTTGTTAAGGAGAAACTTTTTATGCTTGCAACCACTTGAAGTTTTAAGGAAACATGAGGATTAGTTGTGCTCTCTAAGGTTTACTGCATGTTAATTGTTCCTGTGACCCTAATGGCATGCAAAGAAAGACAGCATATGCTGGTGAATGTGCCCTTATTTGAAAAATCAAATTTCCCAGGGACTTTAAATCAATAATTTTAAGTCTGTACATAATAAAAGGAAGCTCGCCTTCTCCCCCTCCCCACCCTCTGCCACCCTGCTGCTCCCCAGTGGATGGAGAAAAGCAGTATTTTAGTTCATGGGATTGCCCCTGAAATTAGCCAAAGGAAGAGAGACTGATACACATTCGGTGCAATTTCAATATGATCCTTAGTTCTCTTTTTTTCTTTCTGCCATTACTCTTTTTATTGCCAGAGGCTGAAACATCTTTTCCAACTACCGCATAGCTATACTTTTCACAGACTATACAAAAGCAGTTGGCCTGATTTGTCCAATAACCACAGGGAGTTTTTATCTGCAAAAAATGTTTCCCCAATACAGATATTCATTTTTTAAATTAACATTTTTGATATTTATCGGACATCTGTATGTGCCAGTCCCTATGCTGGGTATGCCAATAAAACAAAAGAGTCTTTGCTATATAGAAACTCCCACTCTATTGGAAAGGGGAAAAGTGCTGAGAATCCCCTATAAAAAGAATTTCAACCTATAGTAGCAAAGCAAGAGGGAACAGATAATTCCAGAGAAAAATAAATTCTCAGCCTTATGAAAATTGTTATTTGCAAAATAGTCACCAAAGATCGTTAAGTGGAAGTACTATAGGTTGGCTCTGCAAGTTGTTGTTTTAGTCCTTTTGGG